TTACTCTCAAATGTTCATAGCTGCTTTACTGACAATAGACCAAAACTGGAAATAACTCATGTCCATCAATTAATGCCTGAGAAACAAATTGTAGTATATCAATATAACAGTAAACTATTAAGAAAAAATGGTAACAGATTACTAATACCTGCAACAACATGGGTTGATCTCAGGCATTAGACTATTAAGCCAGAAATAAAGGAATACCCATTGAACGATTCCATTTATATTCGTCCCTCTATTTATGCAGTATATTTTTAACATGAGTTTTTTTATAGTGACTTTGTGCCAATTAAAAAGAGAAGATTGACTGCTTTAGATTATAGTACAGACCCTGACAGTGAATAAAATTTATTTTGTTTTTTTCTGACTTTTCATCAGTATTTTTTGTGAAATAACTCTTTTTATGACTTATATTGGCCTATTTTTTTGGTATTTTCTTTTCATATTGGGAGACACTTTTTACATGGTTTTCTTCCACATTAAAAAAAAGACGCGCGGATTGGAAAATCCACATAAATCGATGGACGGGTGTACGTGGAAGTGTAGAAAACGCCAATCTGTGGTAACAGAGGGCAGCTCAGCCATGGTTACATTGAGCTGAGGATGGAGATGGTGGCAGATTTGCCTGCAGAGAGGCACAAGGAAACTTCTGGATCGTTCAAGTATTATATATCTTCATTTAGTGATTATGTGATTATATAGACTTTTGATACTCTGAATTGTTTGCTTAAAATGGCTGAATTATAGTTAATGTAAATCATACTCTAACAAGGGGACTCTTGTCAATTTAATTGTTACACTTTTGAGGATAATCTACCTTTTTTTCCTCTGGCAGCTTCTCAAAAATTTTTGGGGGGAGGAGGTCTTTAGTGTTCTGCAAGTTCATTGCAATGTATCGAGGTGTGATTTCTGTCTACTTATTTACTTGTGATTCGTTCTGACTCCATAATCTTTGCATTCATGCTGTCATCAATTCTGAAAAATTCTCTACCACTGTCTCTTCAAATATTACCTTTTCCTTGTTTCTTTTTATTCCCTTCCTTTGGGACTCTGATTATACTCGTTATATTTTCTAGTAATGTTCTGTATGTCTCTTTAACATCTTTTATATTTTCCATTTCTTTACCTCTCTGTGCTAAATTCCAAGTAATTTTTTTAGATATATATTACAGTTTAATACTCTTTCCTTTAGTTTATACCACTCTGCTTTGTAGTTCTCCAATTTAATTATATATTTTAAATTTTAGAAGTACTGTTTGGTTCTTTTTCAAATGTCTGTCCTTTGAAAATAGGATAGTGCGCTTGCTCATGTTTTTAATTCCCTTTTAAATTCTAAAAATATTTATATATATATATGTATATATATATATATATATAATTTATATTCTATGTTTGATAAATCCAGTATTTTAAATCCTTGGGGGACTAATTCTGCTGTTTATTGTTTGTCTTGATTCATTAATACTGGCTAGATTCTTGTCAGTTCTGTTCTTTTGGATTCTGAGTTCCTATTGGCTGGGACTTCCATCGCACCTGAGAGCAGGATGTGCATTCTCAAAGGATATTTTTTTTTTCTCTTCCAGGGACAAACCCTAAATAGGCAGGTGTCCTTCTCGTTTTCTTTTTCTGCTGGTAGGTTACTTTTTTTCTAGACCAGTCTGCAGGTGATGATAAAAAAGATCCAGCTTCAACTTCTGATCTTCCTGAGTCCTGAACCCCTCCTTGGCTTCTAGTCTCTTCATGAAAATGAAAACCCAAAGATCTAGGATCCAGGGGGCAGTAAACATCCTCAGGGCAGCCACTACTTTGTACAGTGAGAAATTTAATGGAATGCTTTGAATAATAAAGAAAAAATATTCCAATCAATCATGAGTTATTGACACTAATTACCTAAGTTAAGAATATGATTATGTGTGTGAGTTTGGGAAATACTTTGAATATGAATGTGTTCCTTTTTGTTGTATCAAGGATTAAATTGACAATTTTGTATTCAATTGATGGCACTCAAAAGGTTTAGATACCTAAAAAAATAACCATTGTTTTCAAAGTCGAACAAACGGGAGGCAATTGTTCTTCATTCCGGGTAACTTGTCTTGGTAAAGCTAATACTAAATATGCCTTTTTGTAGACAGGTAGTTAGAATACCACATAGAACTCATTTCTGAATGTCGAAACCAAAATTATTTGCAAGCCATAGATATATACAACCCTGTAGGCTGACACCTCACTTAACTGTTAAATCATCTAAAAGATTATCTTGTCTTTCTTTTATGTGAATTCAGGAGTACAAAGCTATTTAAAATTCCTTCTCTAGAGGAATTCTATTAGGAGTATTATATTTCTTTGGCAGTCCTAAAAGGAACCAGCTCAATATTTTATCATTATATTTTTTTAAAGCTACTTTGAGTTATTTTTTAAAATTTATATTGAAACCTGAGAAATAGAATATGCACTATGTATATGGCATGAATTTTACTAGGATTCTACAGCTCAGAAAGTGCTTTCACACCTGTCTGGTATCTAGATGAACCGCTGTCTACTAGTATTGCAACATTTCAAATGTGTAAGTGGTTAGTAGGTGAAAACACAAATATCTGGCTTGTGCTTTCACCTGCGACTTTGCATATTTGAATGTACACAAACAGTGCTTTCACACGTAAGTTTTAGAGTATCCCAGAAGGGCATAAGAATAAAAGAAAAAAATCAAGATTCATTGTACCATTAAAAATAGCCTACAGTCACAGTGTAACTGTGGGGAAAAGAAATTATTGAAGCATAGCTCAGGTAATTTTATGCTGATAGATAGTAAAGGCTGAACACATTCTGAATTATGAAATGAAAGGAAATAGTGGAAAAAAGAAGACTCTAGTAATAATAACTACCAGTGATTGGGTTCTTCTATATATCAGAACTATATTGAGAGCTTTACTTAAAAACAGTCTCAACTGTAAGAGAATTCATTTATTAGGGGTTTAGCACAAGCTAGGACAACTTTTCGCCATAGGTGCTATTATTTGCCCCATTTTGCAAACAAGAAAACTGATGTTTAGAGTTTCATCATCTTGCCCAAGATCACATACACTTGAAAGAGAAGCGTTAGTCAGATATAAAAGCCCAAATAGGCTGATGAAAGAGACCATGCTTGATAGCAGCTTCTCCATTATATTTTCATTTAACTGCTAATGTTCATCTTTTATGCTAGTTTTATTTCATAATTCTGCTTGAATGAGTATTTGAAGAGACAGAATGGGTAATTGTTTTCTTTCTAAGTATTTATCCAAAATGACTCGTTTAATAAGGTGAACAAATGCTTGGACTTACTGGGAGGGTGCGCCTTCCCGGAAATTAAGTGAAAGGAAAGGTCTGTTCCCCGTCATTAATACTTGATGTGGGATTTTAGTCCTTAGAGGAAATCCCATGGAAAAAGCAGTAGTGATGTCAAGAACTAATCTTCATTTTAATTGAAGAACACTTCTATTACAGAACATAGGATGAGAAGATGTGTTCAGCTTGTTTTTGCTTTTCTTGAAAAAGCTGAAAGTCTCTTTCCCAGTAGTAATTAAAAATTCACAGCAGTCGTGAACTGACTGTTGGCTTCCAATGACCACGACGCCGCTTCCTTGCGTGGGTGATTTACTGATCTAAAGCGAAGTAATTCAGCACTGAAATTATCTTGAAAATTAAAAACCATTCTAGATAATGAATAGTTTCCATTTCTACAGCACCAATTTATGTGCAGTTTTTACTATTTATGTATTCTTTTGTACATATACAACTTACTAACAAAAATGGTCTGATAGGGACTCCTCCTCAAAGGACAGTATGCAGTGCTCAGTTTCTAGTCTTAACTCTATAGACTTGAGAGTGGCATTCATTCATTCATTCATTCATTCAACCCAACATTTATTGAGAAGCTTCTTTAGGCATTTTCCTGATGGCACCGGGAAATGAAAGGAAAAAAAAAAAAAAAACAGCCTCTGCCCCTTAAAGGATTTATTATTGTAGAACTGCAGTAATATTTTATTCTAATTCTATCTTTTTTATTTAACTGGTCGTATCTTAGTTTATTTAACCAATCCTGTGCTGTTAGTTTTTTGCTATAAAAGGCCTATTTGAAACACTCCTGGTAATAAATGTTTGTTCAAGTTTCTGATTATTTCTTTGATATGGATTTCTACCAGTAGAATAACTAGGTCAAAAGGCATGAACATTTTAGCCTTTTAAGAAATTTGTGGAAAAAAAATAGGTACACCTGGCAAAATAGGAAAAAACAGTTGTATCATTTAAATTGCCACCAATACTGTGTGAGAGAGCCTTTCTTATACTATTTCCTTGCCAGCCTTAAGGAATTAGAACGTTCCACTAACTGTATATAGATCACTGATCTTTAAATAATCTTCAAAACTGTTAAAACTTTTCTCATTTTTAAGAACAATTTATAAAATCAAATAGCGCCAAGCAAACATCTTCAAATGACGTAGATAGTTTATGTCTAACAAGAGATCACCCGGTTTTTTTTTTTCTTATATACTCTGAATTTTAGAGTATTAAGAAGTAATGAAAAGTGCTATCAGGTGGTTTGAGAAGTTTCTCTGACTAAAAAAGATGAAGATTGCAGCTGACTAGGAGTTGAATATTGACTTAAAAGCAAATATTAGGGGAAAAAATAGATCTGTATTGTCAGGGCTTATTGAATTTCATAAAAAACAGTTAGGATATTGTGAATTGAGTAGCAAAACATGATGTTTCGTGCTAGTGCATTTTATTTAAGCACAAAATGTCTACCTACAGAAATATGGAAAAAAAAATGCTGTAGCTAGGTTCACAGAATCCTATCTGCATCTTAAAGAGTGAAGTTATGGCATAGCCTCATGATTGACCTGCACTAATCTCTCAAATCTATGTAAAAAAGCATTTTTGCGCTTCCCACTTTTGTATACCTAGCTCTTCGATCTCTTTTCTGTTCTTATCTCATTGGTTACACTGTTTCTTTCCAGAACCATTGGACACAGAAAACGCTTTGTCAGAGTGCCCCGTGGCCATATGTGGGTCGAAGGTGATCATCACGGACACAGTTTTGACAGCAATTCTTTTGGGCCGGTAAGTCATCACGTCGCTGATACCACTGGCTTTCGAAGGTAGGAACAAAAGTATGTCAATCAGATCATTTGCCCAAGTGATCCAGCCAAGAATTACAAGGAGCTTCGCAGTAGAGCTGTTTATGTTTGAAAATTTCCTTTTAAATATCATCAGAGATAATTTAAGCCATCCAGGTTCATGCGCGTGTATGTTGCATAGAAAAGAACGTAGACAATTCAGTAAAGTATGAAAAGATGCTTTCAGCTGACGGCTGATCCCAATGAGAAGGTCTGCTGTCTTCCCACCGAAGTGGTTTGTACCTTATGTTTTCAGTTAGTGTTTAACAGAAGTAACGTGTAAAAGACCTATAGCCAAGGATTTTTTATACCGTTTGTTAAAAATGCAAGCATCGTGGAAATCATACCGGTAAGTAACATTTCGTCAGCATTTTTTACTAGAAATGCAGATATTCCTGATGCCATGTTTATACTATATCTAAAATTAGTGGTGAAGCTGATATTTTATATATTTTTTCATTTTGAATGTGTACAGAAATTCTCTACTTACGAACCCCTGCAATAAGTCATTATCTAAAGCGAAGAAGCTTTTAGTTGATGAAAATTACACCTGATTTCTAGTTGCCTGTGTATTTAAGAACTTGACTCTTCATTCATTAGATTTTCCTAAAGCTAGACATATCTGTACTTGATGTGTTTGTATTAGGTGATATTGAATATCTTCAGATACGTTTGCAAGAGAAGTGTATCCAGAGTTTTGTCTAAAACTGAATGTTGGTGGTCTGTATAGTATGATAGAAGAGATGAGATCGGATAAGTATATGAGTAAGTGGAAGAAAACTGTAAGAGACGACTCCTACCTTTTTTTCCTGGTTGTAATGATGATACAACTTTCTAAGTTCTTCCTTGCTTTTGAATCATATTTATTACAAAATACAATTTAATCCTTGTAGCGTATACCAAAGATGAGATGGACAGATTGGAAGTGGAGGTTACTTGCAATACGGTAGGAGTGATCGTTATGAACAAATTTAGCAGCAACTTGAAAGTGAAAGTAAATCCCCTGAAAGCAGTTTTTATTTCTCTCATTAATGATATCAAATCCATTTAATGCGTCATGTTTTTGGCCAAGTCCCCATTAAAAATGTTAGTTAACTTTCGTTTGGATTTTAATTGGTTAGGGTAGTGACTCTGAACTGAGGTGTTAAAAAGTGTTTTGTTATCAGTTTTGGGGTGTGTGGCAAATAATAATCAGTTTGAGATCGGTCTGCTTTTCCTTTATTAATAAGTTAGAGCCAATGCAAGATTAGTGACATCATTAATATTCTCAGCGAGTTGCGTTCCACGTGTTCCTTATTTGGGAGGGAGAGGGACTGAGGTGAGTTGCACCCGGCTCTCAGCATATCAAGTCCGCCCTGCAGCCTCCCCCGGCTCCCTGTCCTGCTCTGGACCTCATAGTAGCATTTTGAACCTTTGAACTGTGAGTTTACCCGTGAAAGTGTATCAGGTAGGGAAATATCCTGTCACTTACATCTTTAAAAAAAGAAAATGTGAGAACCAGGTATGAAGGACAATGTGATTGTGTTTATTACAGTAAGAAACTACAGTTTGCAAAATGTCGACAGATATATCACAGGTAGCACTCTTATGCCCTTTGGTTTACATCATGTTTGTAAACGAACCTACTTGTTAATTATAACTTGAACCAGTAATATGAGTCTGAGGTACAAAACTACTTTGAAATTTAGTGATTCTTTACTTCGTTTATATATATATATATATATTCAGAGTGGCTTTTGATTCAGGGGTTGGACTAAGCTATAGATTTCCATTTACTTAACTCGTATTTTTTTTTTTTTTTGGTCAAAATTCGATGAAACTTTTCTAGAATTAAAGAAAACATTTGTTACATCACGGGTTAACCTATTTGTGTTTGATGAGTTATAACACATAAATTTTTACTTTTACAGTGAGCTCTCATGTTCTGTGTTTCAATAGCATTTATGAGTAGGAAAAATAATAAAAAGTATTAATGCTGACACTCCCAAACAAGTTTTAAAAGGACGGACGGGGAAAATAGTGAAGTAAAGTCCTGCAATACTTATTTAAAGCTAATCTGTGACGTTAGAGTATAGTGAATTCTTATTGCATTTTCAATTTACGAAAGATTATCTGAATAATATGTTAATTATTTTAAAGTTTTTATAAATCTAAATAAAAACTAAAGTTTTTTTAATTCTAAAAAACTAAAATAATCTGGAATTTTAAAGTGCATATAGACTTGAAAATTATTATAAGTTTTCAATAATTTTCCATTGAATACTTTTTGGCTTATCACTAACACACTTGGACATTATATGTGTTTCATATGTCCGTAACCTCCAGTCTTGCTAGATGTTTGATTACGTCTCCCCTTGAAAGCAGGGAATGTACTTTTCCTGGATGTAAACAACCTATCTCAAGACAGCCAGGATTATCTCTAGGGTGCTTTTCTTGACTTTGTGGATATCGATCGAAGGCTTTACCCTTTGTTTTCCTCCAAAATAACTTCAGCGGTATATCCAAATACATTTAACATGCTTTAACTCTTTGAGTAGTAATTGTCGTAGAATCTACCCAGTTCATTTTAAATCATTGCCTACTGGTAATCCTAATGGAGCTGCCTATTTCCATATTGAAGTAGAATTAGGTATAATCTAAAGAAGAATTTAAAAAAAGAATGTCTGATTCTGAGTTTCCTTTTCTAGGTTGTTTTATCATTTCCTATTTATTTCTTAATATTTAAATTTTCTTTTCCAGTCTGGCTTATTGCCATTATACGAAGGCTCTACAGGGAATTAGATAGTTGTATGAGTGAAAGCTGAATCATAGAATACAAATTTAAAAGAGCAATATGAAGTTATAATCGCAGACTACATTGCAACAGAACGAGTTCCAACACCTGTTCTTTTAACTTGTCAGAATGCCTTCATGGGAGGCAACTAGTTGACTGTCTGATGAACATGGACGATATGTTATAACAAAACAGAAAATCAGATGACCTTGGTTATGGACCTTCTCAATCACTCAACTTGAATGGGCCTACGTTTCTTCATGTATAAAAGCGAGAGTTTCCTCTTTGACTCCATCTTAAATAGACAGTCGATAAAACGAGCAAATGTATTTATATGTGACTGTGTAGGAAATGTTTCAATTATGAATATTGTGGAATATCTCAGTTCTAAATCTCTTGAATACATCTTCATCACTCGATGATAGAAAACATCCTCTCTTCTCATAGTAAGAATTCAATATTTATGACTTTCACTTAGGTTTGTAAGGTGAGAAATAGCTTTTGTAAGTTTTCATTAAAATTATGATAATTGTCCAGAAGTGTTTTTCAGTGTATAGTACTACTCGATTTTACCGGATTATGTATTAAAGATATCTGTTGGTTCGGATATGTAGGTTTATGATTGCTTGGAATATTTGAAAAACACTTTTCCTGGTAATTTTTTTTCCTCTGTGAAAGAAATGGGTATCTTTCCCTTTACTATCCCTACTTCCATGTAAATGATATTAATATATTTTCTGTTGTAGCTATGTTGTTGTTCTTTGCCAGCTCCAAAGTAACTGATTACTTAATGAATCTCCTGCTTGCTTTAAATTGAAAGCACAGAAAAAGCAAAGCTTTTATTTGTATGTGTACATACACAGCTGTGAATTTTCAAATAGTAATTTTTAACTATTTCAAATTAACACTCATCAATTAAAAATGCATGTCATAGTTCTTTGTTCTATTTGTTATAAATATTCATTCCAGCACTTAAATTTGAAATGTTCTCATGGATATTCATTTTTATTGGTAAAAAATTCACTAATGTGACTTCATGGCCTCCGTTTAGCTTGTACATTTTCTGTCTTTGAAGCTTTTTCTATCATTTTTATCTAGTTTAAGTCATGAGCCACTAAGATACTTTCACTGTTTAGAGTATACTGATTTGTTGTAAGGAATATGTGTTATCATAGAAATTCTAGTTATTTAGTATCTAAAATTAAAAATTTATTTTAATTTCACTGACCAAAGGACATTAGGAAAAAACTTTTACCTTAAATATTTCAAGGCAAAGTTAACCTTTCCAAGATGTATAAAAGTATTTTGATTCTTAGTTTTGTGATCATAGTGTCACCTTGCGAACAATTTGTGTGCAGGAACCATGAAGCAGAACTGAACAATTTGTGTGCAGAAACTATGCATGATATGCTGCTTCGGTCTAAGAATAGAAACTGCAAGTTATACTAAGCATGAATTCTTTTGCGTTCTAAGTCATTTGGAAAAGATCTAATCACTTATTTCATGATACCTAATTAAATAAAATATTAGCCCCGTGGAATGTTTTCTTGAAGGAAATATGCCTAAAAGGAGATGATAGTTTTAGGATAAACAAGTCTTAGAAATATTATTTATAATTAAATAAGCCGATGATCTGAAAGTGATGATATGTAAGAAAACATTGAAAGGAAGATTAACATTCCATAGTATTCCTTTTGAACTTAATGAAGTTCGAAAAGTTTTTTACTTTAAAAAAAGTGGGAAAGTAAAGGAGAGGAAAAGTTAAGTTCATGTTTTCATATCATGCAAGCCTTTCATTTACGTCTTTGAGACATTTTTTAGCACTTACTGTTTTTCCGGATTGGTTTTGGCCTGGATTCTCATGGGCGGAATGGATCAGGAGAGATGAGGATTGTATTGACTAGAGAGAGGTTGCTCGATGAGGTGATGCATGTAGGAAATGAACATTTTAGGAGGTTTACTATCTAGTCATCCCTGTTTTTAAGTTTATTTCCTACTTTATCTGTTTTTTGGTTAACAAGAAATATAGTACGTTCGCTGTAGGGGCAGCAAAATAAGAATCTTGGAGAGATGTAAGTGGCTGGAAGAAAGAGAAAGAGCGAAGTTGTGATATTTTCGAGACTTCGTATCAAGGGAGGAATTGGGATGGCGTTTTGGGAGATGTTTAAAAGATTCAGAAATTCTAAGGGTCGAGATAAAAGTCTCGGCCATTGAGGAGTGACTGAACCTGGGTGTCTCCCCAATCCTTTTGTCACTACCATCGAGAAATGTCCTGATGCCTGCGCAGAAAGAACAAGTAAGAGGGTCGATAGATATGACTGAGGTGTAACTCCTCCCTGCAAGGGGAGAGACAAATAATGAAGCACTTACAACACAGAACACAGTATAACGAGTTCTCTAAGTTGCGGGGGACGGGGAGAGGATGGGGAGCAGAGTGTCTTGGAGTAGACATTTGTACACTAAAAACCCATAAGAAAAAAAAAAAAACTATGAAATCTCCTAGGAGGATTTGGTAAAAGAGAGTATTCTGAAATCGGTGAAAATGATCATTGGTAAAAATCTCGTATTGCATAAAAGCACTGTAGATCCTGCGTGTTTTGTGAATGAAGTGGTTTATGCCTGGAGTGGTTGATGAGTTTCAACTGCACTGAAAGCACTCTGCTTATGCAATACAGGATAATCTTGTGGACGTGTGGGATGAATTGACATTTCATTTTACTTATTGTTGAAGTGTTGCATTTTCCTTGTGTAAATTCTCTTGAGCAGCTAGAGTAACTTTCATTTAAAATCAGCCATTTTCAAATAAAGAGAAAGGTCAGTAGACTGTTGACAGGATCCAGGGAAAGTGTTCTATTCATATTTTCTTTGAAAAGTGATGCTTAGACTTTAATTGGTTACATTTTCTTGTTTTCTTGTAGGACATACTTTTGTTCATTAGAGCATTTCGTTAGGAACTGCCGTTATAATTAAAATATCTGTATAACCAAAGATAAGTAATTCTCAGGAAAAAAGAAAAAAGCCCATTCTCTGGAGCATTATTCAAAACAGAGAGACTGCAAACAGAAACAAAAAGTCTCTTAGGATAGTCAACATTTTTAGTTGGATGTTTTATTGTACGGTTAGGACATTAAAAAACACGATTTTTTAAAAAGAGAGCGTGGAACAATAGTGCCAACTAGAAATAGCGGTGAAGTAAATAATATTATCCACCCCCCCACACACCG